CATTCGGCGTCTGCTTATGGGAAGGACTGAATTTCTCGAGAACTAGAATGACGCATGGAATGTCTCGAATTCGGGTTTTCCCCGAGCTGCTAATGACCGACGGAAGCTTCGGCATCGGATGCTGACAATTTCCGGAGATGAATGTGCACATGCATGAAAAATGCTCAGATGGATTGAGCTCACCGAAGGGAGGAATACAAGACGGCAACGTCATGTTTTGAACTTTCAGGAATATGCGGTGACAATTTAGAACACCGTGAGAGATTCCTCTCCCCCAAAAAGTTCGCGCACCGGATAACGGCGCGCGGGAGCTCATTAGTTTCTCCCTCTCTACTCGCTTGGAGTCTTGAACGGCGCAGCGGGCTATCGGTCTTCACATGATAAATTGTGAGCAGGAGAAGGCTCGCCACTCCCCACGCTCTAAATTGTGATTGCTGTCTCCTTCCAGGGCCATATTCTGTCTCCTTCCATATTCTGATATTTCCGACGGACATCACGAGACAATTCCATAGATCGAAGGGGGCGAACCAGCTCGCAGGGCTCCGTGTTTAGCTCCCAGGCTCGAATAGTGAATCATGTACGGCCTTCGCCGGAGGGAATCCTGGGATCACTACTGGCCCCCTATATTCCACCCACCACCTTCCTTCTCAGTCACATCGGTTCATTGGGATATGCGCATTCCTCGCCGTCATCGCTGCACAACCAATCGATATTCGAGAGACTAAGAAGCATGTCTATTCTCTGGTTGCTTCTCCGATCCCGAATCGACCTATGCATGGATTTCGATATGAACGCTACTGCCTCGTTACTTCGGAAATTCGACGATGGGAAACAGTCGGAGGCACATTTCTTGACGCTCTTGTCCGGGGCCCCCTATGAACATCGCGTCAGCTTTCACTCTACGATTGTCCCGGAACATCGCTCTAGGACAGCTCCATACAATCGGGATTCCCAATCATTACGGAATTCCTACATAGATTACAGCATCGAGATCATCCTCTTCGTACTCGCGTGAGCTATATCACCCGTAGAAATTTCTCCGCATGGCCTACGCAGTGAGCACCGACGGAAAGCTCCTTCCAGTTGTTCACCCTGCAGAATCACGTCAGTGCGAGTTCCAAGAGTGAGCGAGACGCTGGATGCTGAAGGGCCAAGACTGAGCTTGGAATTCATGCGAAGATTGGCCTTTGACTTGAAATTTTTCTTCTGTTTGTGTAGAATCGCTCACCACAGGCCGAGATCGCTGGAATGGAGGTACAGATTTTCTCCATCTTGGAAGGCCTACGATCCGGGCGGATCATATGAGAAAGTCCTCCTAGGAGGGCGACCCGATCATTCCAGCGTCAGCAATTAACACGCACGGCACGATCTGGAATCTGAGTCTGTGCGTGGCTAGATCGAGTGTCCCCTTTATCGTCCGTGTTGTTCGAGGGCCCTCCCTGGACTTGCGAAGAGAGTCTGAACTTGGAAAGCTAGGTGAAAGAATGCCTCCTGTGTCAATGCAATCGTAGGAGGAAAATTCGGGATTCATGCGCGACTTCCTTGCTTCTGTCCCTGAGTACTGGAGCTCCAATCCGTCTCCATTGACGTCCAGTCTTCAACTCGGAACATGGATAGTTAGTGCTGAAAAAAGGCTCAAGGCATGTGCGGAGCTTGATTTCGCCCCCGGACTCGCCGAGAAAGGAAGAATATTCCGCGCATTAGGAGGCTTGTGTCAGTGGAACGACATTTTTTATTGCTCGGTCAATTGAACTATGACATGACTCTTCGATTGACAGAGACGCACAAACTGTTCGTATATTGTCTTCAATTAGAACCTAAGTATCTCTCATTGGCGACCGCTCCTCGGAACGTTTTTTAGCATCGTGAACGCACCTATCGCTTCAGAAAGTATCACGGCACAGCCTACCTGCCATAACCATAGAGTCCCAAGCCCAAAGGCCCGCCGTACCCTCCGCCGCCCGCATTGATGACCTCCACCGTGTTACCTTTGTCGTGGTCGAGGTTGTACACGTGGTGATGTTTCGGACCGTTATTCCGCATGAGCGTGTTGCCGAGTAGATATCCGTAGCTGAGACCGATTGCTCCACCACTGGCTGCGGCACGTAGGAACGGTTTGGCAGCTATCTTCAATCTGATGTTCCGTAGACCGTTCCCCAGGACACCGCAGACGAGCACGGAGAGAATCGCGAAGGTCTGGAGATGCACCATGCTCCTGGCGACGGATCAGCATTCAGAGTTGGCACTGGACGGAGCGTCGATCTCTCCGAGGAACAAACTTCAAGATACTTATGAGCGGCTTCAGGCTCTCATCGTCTACGGAGCCATCGGTCAGCCGGCATGATAAGATTACATCTCGGGGCGATAGAAGCTGTTTTTATTCATCTTCTCAGATAGCACGGGAAGGGTTTTTGCTAAGATTCCTCAATCGACGTAACTAACTTCTAACATATTCTGTGCTCCTGCTTGCGGAAAAATCATCGTTATAGTAGCCCGCGAACGCTTATAATAGCCTTGTCCGTAATGCGAGTCATCTTGCGCCGGAGGCATTACCTCCAAACGAGAGGGAGTTGCATCACCCTGTCAAGAATTAGCGGGGCGAGAAAAAGCTTCTCGCCGCCCATCCGATAAGGGAGTCCAAATTATGGGATCAGACGCTGAGAAGCTTGTTGCGGAGAATATCTCTTGGCTGAATTGGAATTGACAACCCTAATGTTTCGAACACATAACGCACTTTATTCGACTGAGACATACAACAAATTTTGGCAATCTAGAATCAAACTTCCAGCGTCAACGGTCATGATGATCGTAATGATGGTACTCGCGATGTACTTTTGAGTAGTGCCCGAGCATTCCTCCGTAACCTCCTAAGTGGCCCCAGGCCCCATACATGGAATGAATCGGTGGCCCTGGCAGGTGGATGATCTGCACAGAGTGTTTAGGGGGGCTATGTTGGTAGTGGTGGTGATGGTGATCTTTGTGATGGTGATGCTTGAGTTTCTCGAGCGCAACTCCGAGAGTAACACCGCTGGTCGCGGCTGCGAGGAGCGGTCCCGCCGCTTTTTTGAGGAGTATCTTACCGATTCTCGCTTGGCAGTAGTCGGCGGATAACACGACAACGCAAACGAACAAGAAGAGACGCGGAATACCCATCTCGAGACGAATTGACTCGTTCTCAGTCAAACACTTTGCTCCACGAGAGCTCCAAGGCCCGAATTCCCGCGCACAGCACTGAGAACTCCCAGAGCTCGAAAGCCTTTGAGCTTGATTGATCTGGGTAACTTCTAGCTCCAGAACACTGCCTCGATGAATGAAAGCTTGTAAATGGGTCCGCCGAGTTTTGTGTTAAATTTCCCGGCGGAACTATCGTCAGGTGAGGGAAGTGATTTTTGATGAAAGATCTGGTCCGATTTGCACTTATTCTGTCCGCCGAAATTTACGTAAACTTACTCTCCTCTCTCGCAGCCAACCACTGCGCCTAACAGAGTCTCACAATACGAGCCCATTATCCAGAACGTTTCATCAAGTCTGAACTCGTCTTGCTCCACCGGCAATTTTCCCCTAATTGTCTCAGGGTTGGATTCAATTACAGGCAGGCACGTGCTAATGGTCATATCGAAGCTTCCAAATCGAAGTTCACATCTCGGCCTGCCTTTTTCCTATTTTGACAGCGCCTTGATCTTTCTCTTTAGCTCCGAGCTCATCCCGGCTCGCGGGCCAACCCTCCTAACCGAGAGAATTCGACTGGTTCCTTCCGATAGTCGGACTTCAGTGACGAGAATCCACGCGCGCTGCACCTGCCGAATGAACCGAGAAACTGATATCCTCACTAGCATGATTAAAATATTCCCGATTTGAGGTGTTTTGGAAAGTCAATGCACGCCCGACGCGAATGCTGCGAGCTAAACGTCATCTAGCTCGGTGCAATGCACAGTGGGAGCTCCTCACGAACATTCGTTTCGTGTCCCTCGTCAATGATCAGCCCCTCCCTCAATTTCTCATTAACCGTTCTTGGGAAATTATCACGAGGGAGCCGCGCGTAGTGATGGCATGAGACGGGAATTTTCAGTCCATTCCGATTGGAAGAATCGAAATGGAGCTTGTTCGAATCCTGGACGGAATTGCGCATTATTACCTGCACCGCTAACTTGACGTGGTCCCGCACCACTGCTTCCAGCTGAATTAACTAATGGATCACTATCTCTGCTCGTCGGGCATCATCATTCCCTTGTCGCTGTGTTCGGGAACGCGATTTTTCTCCAAGTTAGGCAACTTAGATCCAGTTAGCGCCTCACGCAGCGGAGCCGCGCTTTCCTAATATCCACGTGAGACCTTCAGCGAGAAAGCTGACCCGATGACCCCAGTGGCGTTTGCAGGATTCTTTTGGGGGGGGGAGACTAGGTTTTCGAGGGCCAGGGGTCCAAAATGATGAGGCACCCTGGAGTTATGCAGCACCGAAAAAATTTGTTGGGGGAGGGGGGCAGGGCCGCCTTGCCCCCCCTCCCTGGACACGCCTCTGAATGATCCTCAAGTCTACTCAGAATAAGATTCGAGAGCTCCTGAGTATCGGATCTCTCAGGAAACTTGTTTTTGTCCACAAGTTTTCCGAGGTCATCGGCGTTTCATGAAAAGCACACCATTTTTCCCTAATTACCTTAATTGCACACCGTTTAACATCCATCCATCTCGAACTGTGATCATCGCTCACCGAGCAAGAACGATCCGAAGTTATCAAGGTCAACTTCATTACTCAATCAGGTACAATTTATTCTCCATCATTATTACATAATAATGTCCTTAGACACATCTACTTCATCGCGTCAATGACTTTATATTAATCACGAAAGTCACAGGTTGAGCTCGATCTCGAGGGTCGCGCCTCGGAGCGGACGCTCTCATCAAATTATCACATGATTGACTTCACGAGCTTCCGGTAGTGTCGAACACGCACAGCAGAAGACTCGTGGAGCCCCGTGCGTTCACCTCCCAGAAGATTCCAATTATCCTGCGTATGGTACACCGTATCCGTATCCCCCTAGATAACCGCCGTAGCCGTTGCTGTAGGGTCCAGCAGTGATGATCTGAACCTCGTTCCCGCCTCCTCCTCCACCTTGGCCGTAGTTGTAGATATGATGATGGTCTCCGTGGTGACCTCGGCCCTGACCGGCCAGAAGAACGCCGTAGCTGAGACCAAGGGCACTGCCTCCTAGTCCTGCAGCAAAGAGTGCGCCGACGTTCCCGCCTCTCCTTTTCCCGAGACCACTTTGGGCGGCAGCAGCAAAGAACGCGAGCAAACAGAGCAGACGTTTCGTGTGCATTGCTCACGTCAGTGAACTCCAATAAAGGGGATCAGAACATATAGGTGAATGACGAACCGATGCGAGAAGAGCGGCTAGTCGATCCGGCTCGTCTAATGCGCTAGAGTCTCCACTCGGCTGCCGTTTTATGCGCGTTACGAAAGGAGGTAAGGAGAAGAAGCGAGATTCATTCACGTAAGGTGTAGCTGATCGTGGAACGCCCGCGTGCTTGCTTTTCTGTCACTACTTTTGCCGGTCGGCGGATGGGTCCGACGAGAGGATTTCTCACCATCTGACTCAGTGACTGATTGAAATCAAGAGTCGGTCTGGCCGAGGATTCTCGCCGTTCGGATGCGGCGAGCTGCTGTCGATTACACCAATGGCGATGCTTTCCCGACTCAAATCCTTCATGCTCATGTGACTGATGACGATGACTGTTCCTCAGTTGCGCATTCAAGCGCCGAACCGAATGACCTGTCTAGGGGGCTCACTTGTTGTCTTTCTCCTAAATTTCGCCTTTTGACCCCATCCGCCCTCATGAATCTTGCGCGAGCCGGCCAGGCTCTATGGAGCTGGACGGAGAATCAATCCCAGGAGTTGACCCTTCTTTGTACAAAGGCGAATTTCTCGATCATTCATACTTCGACGCACTCGGATGTCGACTTGGTAGCGCCGGCGCCGCTCTCGTCAGGTTTCGTCGTGTTCTCCCCTCACTTTTGCTTGTGCTCCTCTACCATGCCATCTTCGCGTAGTGTATCTCCAACGGTGTAGAAACTTTCGGGTAGAACTTCGCTGTGCGCACGTCCTCCATAAATACAGTTCATGAACGAGCTGTCAGAACTATCATGGAACTCCAGCCCCGCGCCCTTTCAACCCCAGTTTACGCATCGCTGAATATTCCCCCAATCCCCTTCGTGTCTAGTACGCCGTTTGTCTCTCGAAATGCAAACGGGATCATTTCGGAATCCTTGCACTCGTACGCTCTCATGCGCCGACCAGCTGTGGTCCGGTGGAAGCGTCTTGAAGCACTTTTTTCTAGTCAATAATTCTAATCACCCTCGCTCCCTGTTAAATGCCGAGCCACTTCGATCCATGGCTCTTGAACATGATCATTGTACTCAGGGCTGCGGAGAGAAATCTCGAGCCCGGGGGGAAATCAGTCGCGGGCCCCTCAGTGTCCCCTGACGAGTGTCGACCGGAACGATATATGTTCTTGTTTGTCTGATTGTAGTCCATTCGCAGTCTGGTCGCGACTGAAAAATCAGCGTAGATCTCCACTCATCTGAGATCGGAATCGTTCTGACGAGGAATCTTTCTTGGATGAGAGATGAAAAAACTACGATTTAACCTAATTCCTGGACCTCGGAATCCAATATTGTATAGAGCTTCAAATACACGCATGGGAAGTTCCCTGACGCAGAAGATCTATACGGTGGCTTCCTTAGCTAGGGGCCCCTCCTTGAGCTCGGGGCCCAGGGAAGAAAGTCCCGGTACCCTCCCTCTCGTCGGGCCTGCTAGTACTTTATGGCGAGAATCATCAACATGATCCTTGAAGGAGCTCGGCCACCTCATCCTTGATGTCACGATTCCCGGCAGGTCTGCTATGAAGATTGGTCTTGGGCAGCTGAATTCCGCGATGGGTCTGACCATCTGCCCGGAAGCCCTTGGCAATCGGATTATAAAAGCAACAGCCTCTCGGAACGTCTTCACGAACGAGCGGAGAAGATTGCGGAATCGGAGCGTCAAGGTCAAATGCTGATATCTGCATCATATGGGAGCTATCGTGACTTGGCGCATGGCTGTCCATAATAATTGTGTTTTCTAAGAATTCACAAGGATACAGTTCCGGTTGCGATTGCTGCAACGAGTGGATTACTTTACCTTTCTCTTTTCTATGAACCCTGCGCGATCTTTCGCGAGGGTCCCCAGCTCGAGAAGGGGCTCAGTTGCGCGAGGACGGGTCTCAGCTGCGCCTGGACCGATCCGGCTAATAGGTTTCTCTTGAAAGATCCTCATGCGCAGTTTCGTATCGAGTCGATATCCGAAGCATCTTGGAGGATAGCAGTGCCGTTTCTGAGGTTGATAGCGCCCGAAGCAGAGACTGAGGATGCCTTTTCAGTGCCGAAGCTAATTGAGGGACAAGGGCGCATTCGCACTGGGTGGCACTCTCCCAGCCGACTTCGTGGGCGCCATGTAAGCCACTGGCATCCAGAAGGCAATATCCCATGGAAGAATGAAAGCGGAATTTAGGCATGAAACACTTAGGGAGTTCCTGAGTGGGAGAGGGGGGGGGCTTCGCGAGAGCCTCACCGGACGCTGCACCGCCTCGCTACGCTCCTGTGTGTCTCATAAACTCTTTTGAGTTCCACCCATTCTCGACTCAGAGTTCCTTGAGTCCTGACTTCCCATCGAGTACTATACCCAGCTAAGAGATGAGAGTTTACGCAGGTCCGAATGAGAGCTCGAAGGGGAGGTCACGCTAGGATTTTGACTTGCGATCGCCTTATCGTGTGATTCTCATTTTCGAACACCCTCTCGCTTTATATCGTGATAGTCGTGGTCATTAGCCCGGTTCCTCAGTCTCCGAGAGTGAAAATTGATGAATGAACTTGAGGCGGGACTAGATTACAGTCAGGCAAACTGGCGCTCTTGTAAGAGAGAATGCCGCTCATATGCGCAAAGCTTGGGGCTCCAGCTAAAGAACCGTGCTCCAAACGCCGTACATGTCACCCGCACTGCGCATCGGCTCAATCTAGGCACTGAAGTGTGGCAGCCTCGTATCCGGAAATGATTTGGTCTCTGCTTTGGAAGAATCTTTCACAGCGTGTTCATCCCGGAAAGCTCGATTAAACATCTGCAGGATAAGGGCGAAGTAGCCGCTCTGTCGCCGATACCCGTGATTACGCGCTGGGATAGCTGGTTCCGCGGTACTAAGAAAGCACAGACGCTCAAGCAAACGTGTTCGTGGAGGATTCCAAAACTCTGGCTGAATTGCTCGAAGTTCGCGAGAGGTTTGAATTCAACGCGCATGATCGAGAAGCTCAAGGAAGGTCGCAAGAAGAGCTGCGGCTATACGTATCTGAGCATTCAGAAGAACGATTTTGCCAGTGAGCGACCAAGTTCTTCGTCGCCCGCCAAGCCTTCCATATCGAGTATGTTTGATTCACCGAGATTGAGCCCGAATATGTTTTACGAAGCACCGTATTCCATATTGACGAAGGCAACCTCGCGAAGGCGGAGTCCATGTTTTTTATTCCGCGACAAATTCACAGCGCTTCTGATCGTTGTCGGACTGCATGCTCCAATAGGGTGCTACCGAGGTACCCCCGCCACGGGAGTCCTCCTCCATGGGAACGATGAGTGTTTTAGACCACTGGTTCTCGAACTTTCTTCCCCGCGGAGCCTCTGAGGTGGTTTGCAGGGGCTATTCAGAACCCCACGGCATCGTTTTCTGAGCTATAATCCGATGCTTGCCCTTTCACCACCGCAAAACCATCGATTCCCACCGAAGAGGGTACGGAGGATGCCTTGAAACACGAGAATGAACTTTAGTCCCGGAGAGATAAAAAAAAACATTTGGCGGACCATTTGGTGGCTCACGGAGCTCCAAAGCTTCCGCGGAACCCAGTTTAAGGAAGACTGTCTTAGACAGACAGGCCATTGATCCTTTGGGCTCCTGAGCCTTCGCCTACGAGTCGGAGTGTTGAGCAACTGAAAGGGTGACAAGTTTCCGTAGCGGGCAAGTCGAATTTCCGGCGGGTTGGGGTAGTTTGGAATCAAGACGTACCTCCGCACGGCCCACGCATACTTCAACATTGAGACGGAGCTTTCGGAACCTCGGAATGATGATCGGAGAAAAATTCTCTCTCCGTCCCAAGTTATCCTCGAGTCACCATGGTGAGGACTAGGAGCTGACCCAGTCAGAGATTTCCTTGCAACGGAGAGAAGAACATACCGGAAGCATTCGAGCTCATCGATCGGCGAGATGCTCCAAGCGTCCGAGAGGGACGATGACCTCCAGACCGTCAGAACCGGAGATCAAACGGAAGATGAATATTCACAGCCAAAATCGGGGGTCAACTCGGAGACCTGGGTCCCATGGGAGCTGATGTTGATGTCGTGTCAACGGAACGGCGGAGAAATTTCGGGAATTCACAGGAATCGTCAAAGCGACAATGCGCTTGCCGAGAAAGTTCCTACATATCTTCCTCCCGAACAGATTGTGATGATATTTCGTTTATCTTTTAACCTTTTCGTTACGGTGTCGAGATTGCGAGACTTTCTGAGAAGCGATCCATCATTCTGTGACGTTCGTCGTGACAGTAATCCTCGAAGGTCATATCTAGCAAACGTCGGGAGTTTCCGCGACTGTTGACTACCATTAGCTTCACAATAGAAGGTCATTCTGCAACGATCGGGAATCTCATGGAGGATAGGTGATACGGCTGGGATAACCTTACGGAACGGGCTTCTCCGAGGGTGTGGCTCCGAGTAGCGAAGCACGGAAAATCCATCTCGCAGCCCAGTTGTTTGAGTATGCGGGTATCCATTTGACGTACTGATTCGATACTGAATACTGCGAGCGATTTGTGAGAGCATTCGGACTCGATTCCCTTCTGGGTGAAATATACGGACAGTCTCCAATAGATGGGCAGCATCCGGGAGGTCGGAAATGAGGATATCTACGGCCGGCTTGATTCTCAGGCAAGGGCGGCTCGCATACCATAACGTTCCGCCCCGATTCTCGCGAAGGAGTCCCTCGACCCTCCTGCAGAATACTCTATTCGTCTCGATGTTTCGATTCCTCGACTTTTTTCCGCTCCAAAGTCGCACCACTCCATTCAACGATATTTATGACAGGGAGTCGGTTAGAATCCTCTGTGTAGACACCTGGGCAGCAATCATTGATATGGCACGAGGACAGGTCTCTCTGAGTTGCTCCTGAAAAATTATTCACTCCGACGATGATTTGTGGTCGGTTGGTGTGAGGGAGAATCAGCGCCCCCGTTGTAGAAGAGTCT